CGAGTACCACCAGAAACAACGTTAGGTGCCACCAGGGGGTATATTATGTACCACGGTTTGAGAATTGACACAAAAGACCGGGCGGAGTGCGGCCTAGGAATACCAGAGGGCCCAAGAAAGGTCAAATGAACAATAAAATAAGCCAAAATTTAGTAGGTGTAAGAAATGAAAGTGCTTAAGGCCGTTGAGGCATCCAGGATCGATCTAAAGATATGTTACCGCAATGTGTGAAACCCGGCATTGCATAGAATGCCTAGGAATTATATAGAATGCCTGAAATTGTAGGAAAACTATGAAATGGCTTATGTTTCACACATTTCCTAGGCATTCTATACAATGCCGAAGATCGACCCGGCAATGTATAGAATACCCCGCCATTCGTGTTGGATTCTTTGCTCGGCGGTGCCCTCCCCTTAACGGTTTGCAGAACATTCAGACAGGAAGAACTCGAACAAAAATAATAATTACAAAGCGTACAATCAACACAGCAAGAAGAAGCTAATAACCAGATGCAAGATACAGAGTCTACCACACAGAATACTGAAGAGAATGCAACCAATAACGGAGAAAACCTAACTGGTTGTGACGGCATGGTTACCCAAGGGCCTTCCACTTCTGCTGTTTGTTGTGTCTGCTTAAAAGAAAGCAGCGGTCTGCATACTTACCGAAACTGTCGCCGTAATGTTCATGTTATCTGGGGGCATGCTGCTAAAGAGGAAGGAGACGAGGAAATAGAAGTTTATGGTGTTGGTATTTTGTGCAGCCTGTTTTTCAAGATTAAGAGAGCTGTAGAAGCTAGAAAAAAGTCTAAATCGAACCTTGAAATCCAGGTCAAAAAAATGAAAATAAACTCCTTAGGAGCGACTGTGCGAGTTCCTATTCCTGACATTGACAAGGGACGAGGTGACTCGCGCAATCTGTTGTTTTGACAGTGATAGAAGACGGCTTTTGCCGACTTGCAACTGCAAAAGGTATCTTGAAACAACTATATGTGAGATCACAGTTCGCTGCTTGCCCAAAGGACTTATTGAGAGTTGAAGTCCCTGACCTTGAAATACCTCTCAGATCTGCTCAGATCTCTCAGTCAACAGGAAGCGGTTAAAAAATTGGTGCGGTGTATATGCCAGATCAAGTGTCAAAACAAGGTCTTTGTGTGAATAGAAAATTAAGTGTAGTTTTAAATGTCCGTCCAGCCTTGTTACCAGCTGCAGCAAGTAGCTCGATGTCCCGCTTGCCTTCCGGTTCAGTTGATCAAAGCGTCTTTTACTTATTTCATTTTCGTCTTTAGTTTTCAAATATGTGTTTCCAATTTAAAAAAAAATGTGTACGCTCTTTTGAAACTTTGCCTAAAGTATATCTGTCACTATGTATAATCCCTAGGCAATGTATAAAAAGCAAATATTTCATACTTTGCCTAAAATCTTCAGGCATTCTATATAATTCCTAGGCATTCTATACAATAACTGCATTTCACACATTGCCGGTAACATATACATCATTTGTTTCATAAGGGTACATAATATATAAATATATTCTATTCGTACAAACGCGGTCCTGAATTTATTCCGGGGTGGGGGGTGGGGGGGGGTTGCCTTCAAGAACAGGGTTCTGGATTATTGTAACACAGAAAAAAATACGGAAAGTTTTCCATCTCAACGTATAGTTCTGTATTGTTCAGCCGTTAATAAAATGCTGGGAGAGCGCTTCTGACGCCCCGACCACACCCCCCTCCAGCCCCAGATACGCCGCTGTACACAGCTGCTAAAATTTCTGCACACTAAAAATCGTGTGACATCTCTACCAAACGGTAATATTTTTTTCTCTTTCCCTGTCTCCGCGCACTCATAAGGCTTGCAAATTAAATGGTAAAGCACACAGTTAGGCCGAGCAAGAAGAAGGAACATCTCTTTGCCATAAATTTGCTGGAAAAACAATTTAGCTGCAGTATTTATACTGCCCGCGAGCTGGGTACACGTTAAGCTTACTTTATGAATACACCTTTATCGACGGATAATTTAATCACCAGGAGACAGCGAAACCATTCCAGCCAGAGAAACATATCAAAATTTCAACAGCTGCTCACAGTCTCTAAGAAAGAGTTGTAAATAACTCACCATTGGAATCTTTTGGCATTGTGTGGCCATCGCCATCGGGCATAGACAATCGGCCCCATATCGACGAAATTGAAGCACCAATTCTATAATTATTTCAGATGCAGCTTTCCACGTATAATGCCTCTTAAAGTTCAAATAAATTTCCCAATATACCCAAGCGAATGTCATTGATTTATCGAGTCGCTCTTTGCATCACAAGGTGGGCATTTAAACGGAAGAACATCACATAATAGTAACAAAAGCCCCCTCGACCGTTTTCATGTTATTTATATATTAATATTTTATAGTGTAAATTGTTTCATTCTCAGCGCGTGTTATACACGGGGGAACTTTTCTTTCAAAGACGCAAAAATCTAAAAGATATTCAGTAACAGTATAAAATGGGCACCGTTGTTATTCTCCTCCTTTTAAAAAAACAAACCTTTTTTTTTTAAAGGACCGGTACCTTAAATATACATGTGGGTTTAAAGCCATAACCAAAAAACATAAAATTCAATGTTCATCTAAATAGCGCCGGCTGATTTTTTTTTTTTTTTAAATTACTCACAATGTATCTAAGTATAGAATTAAAGTTATATACATTTTACACACGACTATGCTTCTCTTTTTCTTTTTTTTTTCTTTCTTGTGATAACAGAATTCAGTAGGCAGTAGGATTTATTTGCCTTCGCCGCGGTAATCTCATGATGTGTTTAATTTTGAATGAGGGGAAAAAGATTTTGTTTTATTGATTTGACTGACACTGGTCGAAAGAAGACGGAAATACTGAATAACAAGCTGATTCTGCGTATTAAATAAATTAATGCTAAAACTGTTTAAGTCTCTACTGACACCGGTTTTATCAAACTAAGGATTGTGCATGTTGATTAAATCGAAGTTTCACTACATCCCTTCATTGTCTTGAAAGTGAAGTTTGAATTTTTATGTTTTAATTTTTTTTTTTATTAATATATATATATTAGGGGGAGGGGCCTATTTCTTTTTTCCCGGTCATGTATTGACATCTTATTAAATCCTTTATATTAACTTAGCTTTTGTTAATTTGGCTCTTTCTGGCTGGGTGTATGACAAAATCTTCAGAAATGAATGAAACAAAGTTTGGGAAAACCTGACAAAAAAGAACGCAGCTGCTTTTTCCCATTCTTTGTTTCATTCATTGTCTCCCACTTATTATCAAAATATTCGGACCGTGATATGACGCATTTCCCGTCAACCTATCGAGCTGAAACTCGGCACATAAACTCGTTGCCGATGACGACACATTCTATCGAATTTTCAGCCCAATCCCTATAAATAATGTTTCCTGTTTTTCAAGGGGAAGATGAAGAAAATATGAAGAAACTGATTCCAGGAAATAAAATTCCCTATTAACTGGGTGATTCTTTTTGAAAAATTTATCACAAGTGCGTTTGGTGCGTAAAATTTTCTTTTGTTTTTTCTGGAATAGTTGGTGTAATAAATCTGCGGTGTAAATCAGTTGGAAAACATTAGAATAGTAATGTAAAATAACAAAATAAACAGTGGATATAATTATAAAGGATCAATACAAACATTTTTTAAGGGGTTACAATAGTTTTATTCTGCCTTCTTTGTGGCTTTCCCCATCAACTTATTGGTCATTTCTATCCAATTTTACAATCTCGACTTTCCCTCAATTCAGTCTCTCTATATTCTTTATAGGCCCTAGTTACATTTTACCTAATCATGTTAAATGCTCAATGTCTATTCTATACAATCTTACTATCTTGAATTCCTTGAATGGTAGCCTCATTTTATCGCTTGATTAAACTTACATCTTAGCTGGACATTTATTACGTTTAATATCTTGATCGGTGGTACCCAATGGGTGGTCCGTGGACCTGCAGCAGTCCGAAAGCCTTATGTCTTACGTTGCCAGCCAGTGGCAAAACATGAACATCTCGGGTCAAATAAAAAGAAAATATAAATTAATCAATCTGGAAACAGTCTCGGTTGCAATTTTGAAACCTGTTCACCGGTCCACCAAACTTAAAAGTTTGGCGACCTCTGATCTTAACATTATGTTTCCGACCTGTTCTTGAAATTTTCCTTAAATGTAAAAAAAAACATTTTTTTTTAAAATAAAAATAATAATAAAATCATTTTTAAAGTTCTAAGTTCAAATGCATTTCCAGTTGTAGGAATAATTAGATCATACACAAAAATTAAAATATTTTTTACATTTAATTTAGAGCCATCCTTAGTAAAAGTGAGGTAGGGCGCTACCTGATGGCGCCCCGCCTTTTATATTATGGCTACGCCTTGGCCTTAATATTACAGTAGTAGGAAAAACTTTGGGCTTTTGCCTAAAAACACTGACCATGTCCAGGGGCGTCATTTCAGGGTTTTTTCAGGGGGTTAGGGGGCACCAAAACTTGGTCGGCTTGTTAAGTTGTTTATTACTGGAGCCGCCAAAGTACATAGCAATTTAAATAAAACCTGCAAATTCAAAGTGTGGTGTGGGGGGAAGCATTATCACAGTGCAAAATGGGGGGGGGGGTGGGTGGAGTTGATAAATAGTGAAACTATCCGGAGAAGGCATTCAACAACAAAGCGAATTCCGAATATTAATATGTTTTTAATTTTAAGCTTTAACAAAGTTAGCAAAGCTGAAGTCCATTGATTGGACAATGAGGAATAAGGAGTTAAGTGAGGTAGTCACGCCAGTGAACTTCCAAGCCCCATTTGAGATTAGCGTTGAAGCTGAAAGAGAAATGTCATTTTAATACAATGCTAATTTGATTCAGTCCATGGCCATGTGTAAAAGCGCAACGAGCTCAAAAGTGTCGAAACAGGAACGTAGTGCAATGTTTTGGTCTTTAGACAAACTATTGGAAGCTCTAAAGTCCTAAAGAGTGAAAAGTGTTCTTAAATTTTGTTGAGTGTGTCAGATAAACCGAAATTTGAACTGAGTACAGTACAGTATTAAAGTAAGAAAGGCTAGTCAGTAGGGAGACCCTAGCCCAATTTATTAATTTACTACATTGAGCTTTAGTCGTAGGCCTATATAGAAGAAAGAAGCTGAAACAGACCTAAATGAATACCCTGTGTCTTCATTCACAAAATTAAACATTTAATTTAGTAAGTTAGTAAGTATTTAGTATGTATTAGTAGTAGGCCTATAACTATAAATAATAGTAATAGTCTAGTGAAAGTGAAATTATTTGTGTAAGACGTGTTAGTTTTAGTGCAAGTCTTAGTTAAAATTAAGATTTACATATTTTACATATCACTGGGGAGGCCCTTATTAAACTCATTGTATCATTGTAACTTTTAACCAGCCTTTACTTTTACCATTACCTTAGTCTTAGTCTTAGTCATAGTCATAGTCTTAGAAATTATTTTTACGAAGTGGCTATTCTGACCAGCTACCAGTGGGAATTTATAGGCATAGGTTAACATTCTCTTCATCTCAACTATAGAAATGCAAACTCGATGATGCTGCATCTTGTCTTACCCTAAGAGTGAGTTTCCAATAATTGGAAGGCTGATACTGATACTTTGCCAAGCTCCATGTCCACATGTTACTTAAAACAAATCTAGAAATATGATGTTCAGTTTTATTACAAATACATAATTGAATAGTCCAATATAGGCTACAGTTAAAGCTAAGTGCTACATTTGAGTTAGTTTTAAGGTGCAACATCTTTAATTTCCATTTTTGAGAAAAAAGGTAGGCCTACCGTAGTTAAACAGTTTCAATATGACATGAACTTTCATTTCATAAAACATTGATTGCATAACGCAGTGGTTCTCAAAGGGATTCCCCCTACGCCCACCCTATATCTTTCAAATGAATGGTGTTTAGTGGTAATTTTTTTTTAGGGGGGGGGGTTAGATAAATTAACATACAATAAAGTACCGGGTGTTGATTAAATTTAAATGTTTAATGAGTAACCTGTGGTCGTAGTTTTGTTTTTTTTTGGTTTTTTTGCACAGTTTTATATTCAATTAATGATAATTGCAGGTGAATGTTTGGTTCTACATTTAATTGGCTTCTGTATTTTGTTTTTGTAGCTGTATTGGAGAATCCTGCTTTACAGAGATATATATTCCGGTAGTTAGGAAAGGCAGAAATACTCATTTTGCTTTCGCAGACAAGATTTTAAATTCATCATGTAAATGCAGCCAAAACTTCACTAGAAAAACAATATTTAGTTCGCTGTGAAGTATCATACTTATGAAGACCTTATATTCTGCTATTCAGGCCTACCTATGCCCTACATACTTAAAGTCATCAAGCACCTTATCTGGAGCTGTCGGAAAATTATGTTCAGACGAGTGTTTCAAATATTAGAGATAATGCCAGAAAATGTTGCCATAATTTTATTGAATCTTGATGTTGTTTTAATTCATGAAGTTTTTTGAAATCTTCATTTTTCACACAATCTAACAAATACGTAAGTTTCCTCTTAAAAGAAGACACTTTTACATTTTCATAACAGATTTGTCACTTTTTCCATGCAATGATGGATTCATATCATTCATATTGCTGAACATTTCGGCTTAATATGCCAGTTTTCCATCAAAATTGCTATTACGGTACCTCTGCACCGAGTTCCGTTAAAGGTGTCAATTCTTTTCCTCAAGACAACTACCTTTCTTTACTTTGCAGTAGGCATGACTGATGGTGACCTCCAATATCTTCACATAGCAGTCTGAATAGTCTGCTTGAAGAGGTCACTATTTTACATAGTTGATTATTTTGATGGCATTATTTAACACAATACAATAGGTACAAGCTAGCGACTGTTTATGAAGATCGCTCTGGCTGCTGCTACATTTCCTATCTTTAATCTTGCCATTACCTCCTGCATGGTGACGCATCATGGGAACACCATTAGTACCGGTTCATTTATCTTCACATTTTTGCCATGGCAATTTATTTTATGAGAAGAAATCATCCAGGATATTAAATTTTACCCTTTTTTTGTGTTGGTCTGGTAGTCAAAAGAAGAAAGTCCTCCTGGGAGGTTTTTAAGTACCAGCAAACATAATGAAGGAATACTTTAAAACAGTGAATTCATCCAGTTGCATCTCAATTTGTTACACTGATTCGACTGATAAGTGACTCTTTCTCAAAGTCAGTTTGTAATTTCCAGTTCTTATTTTCATCCTGCTTTTTCCATATTCCTCTAATTTGATTCATTTATTATTTATTTTTTTTCCTCATGGAGCCCTGGAAAGGTGCTTGCGTAGCCCTAAGACTTACACAGTGCAATGGTTTGGAACCACTGAACTAAGTTGATGTAAAAGGCCTTCATTTAAAATAAATCATAAGCTTATTTTTCTTTAAAATTTCTGTATAAGTCATAGCCAAATAGATATGACTTTCTTTGCTTTGCAAGTTTATGGGAAATACTCTGGCAATTAATTTTCAGTATTTCTATTCCAAACATAATATCAATGACACATCTGACAGAAAATCGAAATTATAAACAGAAGTGTGACAACACACAATACTTGTTTTTGTGTGTTGAAATATTACTTTTAAAAAAGGTCTTACTATTAAAATTGTCCTAGTTGACCATTTTTAATTCAATCAGAATGTTTTTTTTACATCTTAGAAAAATGTATACCAGTATGTGCAATACCTGAAAACATGTTTTACTTTGTTTGGTTCATTAAAATAAAGATCATCTTATTTTGTCCTATCTTAAATTTTAGTTGCCAGTACCGGTAATTGTCAAGAGATGAATAAAACCAATATCAAAGTATGTTTCCATATCCCAGCTGAATTTTCCGATGAATATATATCACAGGTTTGTAAAATTGGGAATTCCTATGATTTTAATTATTATAATTTTAAAAAATTTAAAACAGATAGAATGTTAATGTTTATTTTCAAAAAATTGGTTACTACTTTATTGTGATGAATTAAGAATATACAATTTAAAAAAGGGCTATTTTTTATTTACTATCTATCATGTTTTCAAAGGGTATATTTATGTTCTGTTTAATATAGCATCAGTTAGCAATATCACTCTTCAACTTCAATAATTTTTGGTTATTAATTCTTTTGACAGCTAAAAGACAAGCTTAAAAAGCTGAATCGTGGCCAGCTAGAGATCTTAATTTGCATCCTAAGCAGAGAAATCTATAGACTGGAGAAATGTCAAACATCCAGCACTATAAACAACCACAAAGAGAAACATCTGTTTTACCTGGAGGATGTGCCCTTTGAAAGTGCAAAAGAGCCCGTGTTAGAAAATACAACCATACCAGAATTAAGTGATCAAGATTTCCAAAACAGAGACGATTCATCTTCTTCAAGTCGAGTCAGTAATATATATTCCAATTTGGATTATAGTTTCATCTAAAAAAAATTATACAGGAGATTTATTAAGTTGAAGCATTTAACTTTAACTATTAACTTAAGCAGTTTCTTTTCACTTTCTTTCCTATTACCATAGTAATAAGGGGGAGGGACTACAGTCAGGTTAGGTAGAAAGAAATAAGCAAAACTAAGTCATGGAAATCCTGAAAAAAAATGATGCAACAAAAAATTCAATGAGCTGCAAAGAACAGTGAAATAAAAACAGTAAATAAAAAAGAAACACTTAGCTGCAATGTAGTATCCGAGAGGACAGCAAGACGAATGTATAGAACATAATTAGGTAAGAGAGTCAATAATAATAATAAAGTTCATTTCAAAAACACGCTTCATCCCCAAAGGCTCGAAGCGCGGTACAAAGTCAAAAAAAAACAAATCTATAGTTTACCACATTTAAAACAAACGCAACACGACAAAAACTAAGTACAAGCATACAATGGCAATGCATGCATGCAAAGGACATCACTTGCTTAGATTTTTAGAAGAATGGGCAGCTCAGTGCTTTACTCGGTCTTGCAAACATTATGTGATTATGATATACAATAGATGTGTGGCTGTGTGCAGGGAGGCCCCCTGGTGCCTTAGGATAGTCTTCAGATGTTTCCTTTGTACCAGTAGCAATGTTGACAATGCTGTTTTGTGCACCCGCTGCCAGATGATGTATCTAGGAGAGACTTGATATCGCCTCTCAGACAGATGTACTGAATGCCTGAACTGTTGTTTGTTGCTGAAGAAGGCTTTCTGCCAACAACTTAAGTTGTTTTGTTGGGTCTTTTTTTCAGGTTTTCCCCTTTTTTGTTTCCCTTATTTCTTTCCTATTACCACCTTGCCTGATGAAACTTTAAATCTCATATCTGAAGTAAATGATTTTATTTTGTACATACATTGCACAGGAAACACCACTGCATGGAAGTCTGTCCCAGCAGAGTCTGAGGGTTATTGAAGATCACAGAAAGGGCCAGTTAGAAGTAATTGATGTTGCTAGTGGTCAGATGGTATACAGTAAATCATGGCACGGAAATATTTCCAGTGACACAGCAGATGTTTTGGATTCATTGGTTGAGGTGATTTATGATGAAATACTGAATAATTAGATTTCTAAATTCTAGCCTAGATTAAAAAACTGAAAGGGAATAGAATGGTTTTCTATTATTATTATTTTTTTAATAGAAATGACAGAAAGGTACCGTATCAGAAGGGTTTTCCTATCGATTTTATTTGCATTAAAAAAAGATCTTGTGAATTTAAGTCTTAAGTAAATGTAATTTTAATGCCAATAAGCAGAGATGTATCACTGTAGATTTTACAATAAGGCTACTTAGGGAATGGGTAGCATTATACATTGACCATTGGTGTAAACCAAAGTGCTATAAATTAGTTCTTTGATAGCTGTGTTATGATCTCATGTACCAGTGATAGTTACATGCCTTAGAGTTTGTTGCATGCCTCTGGATATTATTTCCACCTGTACTATAGCATGTTCACGATTATTGTGAAATGGTTCACCAGAGTCCAGTATGAACTTTTTCCCTGGCTATCCCAGTAGACACACACCTATTATGATTCTCATGGGGAGAAGTGTCCACTGTCCAAATGGCTTCAACCAATACTTTAATGATGTTCTAATCACATGACATTCCCATACACTTTTTCTCTGCAAACTATAGTAGGCTGTCCCTTCCTTTGTAACACAAGGTTAGAAGATGTTTCAGGGTTATTGAGATAAAATACCTGCTGCCATCCTTGGTATCTCTTTGTGTGTGTTTAGTTCTGTTTTTCTGAAGCCAACTGTTAGTATTAATGTAACCAACCATAAGTACGAAATGTACATCCTCTACACTTATAAAATATTTATTATATCGTTGTTATTCTTATTTCATGAACGGAGGAATTGGGATCTGTGTTCTTTGAACTTACCTTTGTTGATTATATTAGCGTGACGCATGTTCTCATCTTCCTCATTCTTTTGAAGGTTATTTCTTGTGCTGGTTTTTGCCAAACCGCATAACTCATGTATTACTGTACTGCCTTGGTTTGTTTTTTTTTAATTATTGTCTTCTCACTAGTAATTCTAGTGTGTAAATAAATAAACTATAAACTATAAACCTTTGTCCATTGTTTTGTAGATGCATATGTAATTTGATTTAAAAGACCTAATGTCCTTTTCTTATTACATGTCAGTTTATGCCCCTGGGTGACATTTAGACCAACACCGCTAGACAACGACGCCACCTTAAAAGTTGGGTTTAAAATATGAAAGGGGGCATAATAATTTCATAATTGTATGTTTCCGAGTCTAAGACTTATTCACTTGTAGATAGGATTTTACAACTGCTTGTAATTTATTGGCTTGTCTGAGTAGTTTTATAAATTATTTGAATATCTTCTTGTTTACCAAGTTTTAAATTATTGCCATTATAACTACATCATCACATTACATGCTCCCCACATCTTATTTCTCTCCTAAAATGTTTACTCAAAAAGAATTTTTATTGTTGGTTTAGATTTTCCTATGTCACCTCTTTTGTCCTCTGATTCTTCAATATAAATTTGAGGTCTCTTTGTTTAATAAGAATATTGATGGTATCAATAAACTTTCTTCTCTTTTTTTTAATTCACTACAGAAATCACTTCAGTAATTAGTCTACCTTTTTTTTATCTTTCAGGAAAGGGATATGAGTGTTGATCTGTCTGATGAAGAAGACAAGTTTGCTCCAAATAAAGCTCTCTCCAATGAAGTAAAAAGACTTAAAAACAAAAAGTTTAAGTTTGATTCTGAACAACCCATTAGAAGTAAATCCGAAATGTCAGAATGTAGAGGATCAAATTCTGGTGAACGCTATAATAAAAACAAGGCCGTTGTGGATGATGAAAATATGTTTTGTCAAGTTTGCAACAAAGATTTTTATCACAAGGACAATTTAAAGTCTCATCTGAAAAAAAATCACAATAAAAAGACAGTGCTCTGTTCATATTGTGGCAAGCTAGTTCTGCATTTTAGGCTCGAGACTCACCTTGAGAAAGTTCACGAGAAGCCATCATACACCTGCCATATTTGCCAGAAGGGTTTTCTAAAACGAGAGTGCCTTGAAGGACACATCAACAAGCACAGCAACACTAAGCCTTACATTTGCGAGCACTGCGGCAGGAAGTATGCTTACTCCACCAGCTTGTACACCCACAAGAGACTTTGTTCAAAATCCGCTGTTCCAGCCCATCTCCTCCACCCCAGGAGTCTCGAAGAAAAGGACACCTTTTGCATCTGTGAGATATGTGGCATGAAGTTTGAAGGCACAAGTGGCCTGAAGGATCACCACAGTGCAAAGCATGGTGGTAAAGTTCAATGTTGTGGATTTTGCGGGAAAAAGTTTCAGTGGCGGCCTTCGTACAACAGACATGTAAAGAAGTGTAGAGAGAGGACAGAGCTGGAGCGTGCAAGGTGCCGCAAACTGGCCAGTATGTCCACTGGAAAAATATTCACATGTGAATGCGGCAGACAGTATCCCTACCGTCAGTCTTTTCAAAGACATCAAAAAACTTGCCCACAGAAGCAGGACATGGAGTCTTTCGTGATGCCTTCAAATGCTGTATCTATTGCTGCTAATAACACTGCGGCTACGGTTCATCCAAGCCCTCTAGGAATTCCTCTTCCTGAGTTTTTAAATTTGTAGATCATTTTTGAACCAAGCTAAAATCTATTTCATCAGATAGCCCAAGTAAAGACAAGCAAGATGGGAAATAACTCTAACATTTAAAAGTGCATGAAACCACATGCTTTATGAAAATTGAACTCCTGCTAGATCCTAAATCAAATGCATTCATTTTAAGTTCTTTTGAATATTCATACATGCATTGAAAATTTGTAAATTATTACTATCAGGTGGTTATTTTGTAAAGTTAAAACATAGAATATCAGAATTTAAATTAAAAAATTAAAAACTTAGTTATAACTACCAGTATGATAAAACAATAATTAGTTGCAACTCTCAATAGAGCATGAAGTTTGCCTTTACAATAAGACAATAATTAATATGATATTCTACATATTATTACTTAAATTTTAAAATAAATACATCAATAATTCTAGGTTTAATGTGAAAAAGATAATTAAATTATGTATTTATTTTTTATTTAAAGAAATTTCGTATTACTGGAAACAAAGCATTTCATTTTCATGTTTTAATTATTTACACTATAATAGAAGCAGGTTTGACAGTGGAGTTGCCATTATTTTATTGTTGCATTGTTTTTAAGTAATATAAAGTTTACAACTAATGGTTCTGTTTGACTATAAAAATTTGGCAGAGTATTTCACATGCCAGTGTCAGCCACAAAAATTTTCACTATTTAAAAAGCAAATATTGTCATTATGTATTGTGATATATTCATTTCTGTGATATCATATCGCAATTAAATATGAATGATCTTTTGAAATTGTAGCCTTAGGAGCAAATTAATTATTAACTATTGTATGCCTATGGAGCTAAAGATAAATAAGAGCTTTTAACAATTAACTGTTCAATTGACAGAATCAATGTGATTATAAGGAATAATGTTTTTGAATAAGAAAAAAAAATTGAAATTAAGATTCTGGGCAACATGTCTTCATTAGAAGGAATGGATATGTTTGTTACCAGGGTACTGTGAAAATATTCCAAATAGTTTATTCAGTGCATAACAAACAATTATGTCAGGCACAGATTAGGGAGCATGGTTAGTATAGCTTCTAAAGGATTAGATGTGAGGGCTGGGTGCATCCCACAATTAATATTATTTTTTATTTTAAAACTTAACACTTTGATGAGAATGTATCTCCTAAGTAGTCATCTCAACACAGATGCTAGTACTTTAGACACTCTAGTGCCAATCTGTTCCAACACAATAACTTCAATAAAATATGGTATTGAGAGAAATTTAGATTGCTTTCAAACCATGAGAACATGTGGCATAAGGGGCATTATTTCCATGTGAGCTGGGTCGGGGCCTAGCTTGCCTTATCGGGACGAGGAGATTTTGGGAACCAACAGGAGCGATTCTGCTGTATCTTACTGAGCCAAACACCAATAGAGGTGAACAGTGACAAAAAACATGCCTACCCACCTAGGACAATAGAGGGGGGACCACCCAGGGTGGAACTTTTGTTAATGCCCATTACCAACATTCGGTGCCATCTTAATGCATAGTTCAACCTGGGCACTGTGCAGCGGTCCCAAATGCTTTTCCTAACAACACTTGCATAGACTGCAGTGGACTGGGCAGCTCAGTGCATTACTTTGGGCAGTTGCTGTTAAGACGGCCTTTCCAATATTCTGTGATTATAAATTCTAACATACTACAGACATGTGGCTGTATGCAGGGACGCCCCATTTAACCCATTTTTTCGCACCTAGTGTCATTTAGTAAGGGCACGCCTCTGTAGGCCCCACGCACCCCCACCAAATTAACAAACATTTTCAGTGGCTTAAAATTAAATATTTACTATTAAAAAGTGGATTCTTTAAACACACAAACTACTTGAACTTCTACTTTACACTTATTATACACAATGTGATGTTTCAATGCAACTAAGACTAATATAACGGCAAAAAGAATTGTCTATGATCTTAATTAAATGTGCCCATGAACTCATACATACTCATAATGATGGCGAGGGCCTAAAATAAAAAAAACCTGAGAGGTGGAGCAAAATAAAACAAACAATTTTATAATATTATTTTAATATTCTAATCAATATGATGTGACGTGAAGTCGAGCCGACCCTGTGCAAATAAGTACATTAAATTTGCTAATTACAATTATTTGAGCTAGTTCCATTAAATGCATGTTTATTTATTTTTACCATATCATAACTTTTAATTTGATATCCTTTTACTGGCCTTGTTAGAATTTGAAATGGGTTATAATGGGTTGCTAAGGCCGAGGCTGAGAATTAAGAATCTAAAGACTAATAAGGGAAAACTTAGATTCAGCAAAGGGGCTAAGAATGTTAAAAGTCTAAGAACCACATAATTAAATATATTTATTTTTTATTCATACCAAAAAACTATGTTTAAAAAAATTCCTATTAAATTAATTCCGAAATGCGCATTTCATGTAAATATATCTTTTTGGAGATGGTCATAAAATGCAAAAAATCTGGTAGTATCAACTGATCGTTGACCTAATTAAGGTATTCGGTACTATTGATACGGACTTGCCATCAGTTTAACGGAACTTTAATGAGGTCATTTTGCACCCAATAATATGAGGGAGGGCAGGGATGAATATATCCAGTGGTACCTCGAGATACGAATATAATTCGTTCCACAACCTTGATTTTTAAGTCAATTTGCTCGTATCTCAAAGTAATTTTCCCCAGTGAAATTCCAATAATCCATTCCAGCCCCCAAAATCAAAATGCCACCCCAGTTGTTTTTGTTACGCGTTTTTGAATAGGAAAACTGTATTTATAAATGACAAATATTATATAAAAACATAACAAAAGAGAATGTGAAAAGAGAATCTGGTTTTAGAATGTGTATTTGGAAATCAGCCAACTTCAGCATACGGGAGATACGGGCGGAGATTTAGGGTGGAGTGACTATTTCGGTCACTTTAATTCACTTTCTTGTTACACTCTTAATACCACACTTTATCCCTAAACTTAATTATGGAACTGGCATAAACTTCAATAAATTTATTTTGAATTAAATCCTAATGTACAATTTTTTGTTACTTTCGCTTCATTTTCAACACTGCTTTTCTCGCCACCGGTCTTTGCATTTTTCGCCACGCTTTCCTCACTTTCACCTGCAGGCCGTTTAAAAAATCCTGTCCAAGGAGGTTTGTTTCTTCCTCCCTTTCAGAATGTTGCGGAAATGAGTTAGGCGAGTGTCCGATGCACGACTGGTTGCAACTTTTTCGGGGTGTTTCTCTTCAACGAGCTGACCCAGTTCCTCGTATCTAAAATGTTTCTCGTATTTCAAAGCAAAACATCGTTCTCTCGACGACTCGTATCTATAAATCTCGTATGTAATGGTGTAAGGCGTAAGGGCACTCGTATGTCGAGGTACCACTACATTTATATATTTTTCGAAATTTGCAAGTTATCTCCCGTGTGGCAGCGTAGTCAATAAATAAATATTTAGACATTTTTTTATACTTTCATGAGTAATTTTCAAACTTTATTATCAATTCTCTCAAAACCTGACATCACTGGTTTTTCCCTTGAACCCTTCACACACACACACATACATGGGCGCCCGCAGAAAACTTTCTGGGGGGGGGGGGGGAAGGGCAAACAATTTTTAGTAATGTTTTAATGTAGTTTTAATTTACGGTAGCGTTTTTCTTTGGTGAACGAACGAAATTTCAAACTTTATTATCAATTCTCTCAAAACCTGACATCACTGGTTTTTCCCTTTAACCCTTCACACACACACACATACATGGGCGCCCGCAGAAAACTTTCTGGGGGGGGGGGGGAAGGGCAAACAATTTTTAGTAATGTTTTAATGTAGTTTTAATTTACTGTAGCGTATTTCTATGGTGAACGAACGAACAGGACATCAGTTTAGTTACTTTCTCTTTATTTTCTCTTTACTTTAATAAATTGTTTGTCTATTTTTGTCTAAAAAATGTTTATCCAATCAATCCAATCAATCTCTCTCTCTCCCTGTATATATATATATATATATATATACAGGGAGAGAGAGAGAGAGACATACACAATCCTACATCAACTGGCGTAGGATTTTTTACAAAATACATTGGTATGTGACAGATGACATTATTGGTCTAAACAAACAAAATAAAATGTAATTAGTGGATCAAAAGCCGTGGGGCATATTTTTTATCCATAAATTCGTAAATATTATTATTCGACATAGGTACATTTTTTCAGACCTGTTTAAAAGAAATATGATGAGGAAAAAAAAAGTAGCGATGTTAAAAAAAATGCTGACTAAAACTACAGTGGTACACAATTTGCTGCAATACTTTGTTCTTATACTTTAATAATGTCAGGATGACAGTGTATCTTTCTTCTTTAATCATTTAACCAATTATAAATGAAGTAGTTCAAAAAAATACATTAAAAAAAAAATTCATAAAACAAAGCTATTGTTTCAAAACAACTAAAAATAAAGGATTTATATAAAAACAACCAGGTCAAGGGGAAACTAAATTTTTACTGGTATCTCTTCTGTTCCTCTCCGATTAAGTGTAGAATTATGATCAGATATGCGCCAAATACAACACATAATTTTGAATTTTTTTAAAAAGAATGTGGAGGGGCTATAAATCATTTAATGCATTGATAAAAAGGTAAAGAGGGGAGGGGGGACAATCTCCAGTTTTTGCCAAGGGCACAACTATATTTTGCCATAGCCTGATGTGTATCTATTTAAAAATAATAATTTAAACTCATAATATGAACCCGAGACTGTTGGCCAGTGCTGGCTTTTGCCTTAGTGGCACGTCACAAATAGTTTTTAAAGTACCCTTTTCAAAGAAGAAGAGCGATATAAATACTTTATTGCTTTTATTACAAAAAATAAAACTTTCACGGTCTTTGACCAGGCAACACCAAAGCTGACATTTAATGGATGTTTTTTCATACTTGCTACATTTAAATTTATTTAAAACTAGATTGCATTTTATTAGTTTTAAATCCACCGATATTTCTATGCAGACAATGAAGTGTATTGCTGTCGAGCTTGGCCATTTTCCATCAAATCACATGGAACCAATTGTGTTGTCTAAGCCTATTGATATTTATATAGCTTATATAAGGAAAAATGAAATTCCCCCCCCCCAAGCTTGGCCATTTTCCATCAAATCACAAGGAACCAATTGTGTTGTCTAAGCCTATTGATATTTATATAGCTTATATAAGGAAAAATGAAATTCCCCCCCCCCCCGGGGCCCCAGAGGAATGGAGATTATGAGTTCAGTACCCTTCGGTATTTGAATATGGATAATGTGTATGTGTACTGAGTTTTGTCAATATCCATATATTTTGTTGGTAATTTTATTTATTTTTAGCTCATATAAAAAAGAATTCGGGGCCCCCGGCTCCAAACGGAATGATCTAAAAAGTTCATAACCCCCTCCACACACACATACAGACACAGTATTGGAATTCTGGACAATGATGGATATATGCAACAAGTTTTTTTCAAGATCAATCAATCCACGTAAAAGTCTTTGTGGAACCAACAAACAAACGGACAAATCCACAAATTTTCCCTTTTATTTATATAATATACTATATACATAAATAAATAAATAAATATATATATATATATATATATATAATATATATATAGGTATATATATATATGATTTGTGTTTCTTCAAGAAGCTTTAATGCTGTACCAGGAAAACCTTTTTGATAGCTCATATTTAGTAAAATAGTGAATACTAGGAAAATGAACTATATGGAGTATATATGCACACTATGGCCTCTTTGGCTTTTACTTTACCTGGTTTAAATATTTTCATTGATTCAGCATTGAGTAAATCAGCTGATAGTGTCTTTGTGTCAAATTAATTTATATTTATTGAATTGGATTAATTTCAATTCACACATTCACATATTTTAGGAAACACAATGCTTAAGCATTGTACATTTGATTTTTAAACTATCTTATAGTTTTTACCTCATAATTTTCTAAATACAATAATTCATTAGTCTAATCACCATTTCATAAGAAACAAAATAATTAATTTAAAAAAAGAATTCTTTGAATACTAAATCCAAATTTTTTCGGTGGATTTTTTTTTATTATACTGGTCAACATAAAAATTTAACATTTAAAAAAAGATATTGATCTTTAAAAATGACCCATTGTAAATCGCTTTTAATGACGATGCTATATAAACTAATGCTTAAAGAAAAACATATTATTTTTAAAATCCACATCCTTAAAATAGTTTGTTACTTGTAGTCTTATCGCTAGATTATGAGCTTATGAGCATCACGTTAGCTTACCCGATAGAACAAGCCATTGGTTACTTAACCTTATAATCGTGTGACCAAACTTTATCTGACTTTATCTGGGCTGTTAGCAACCTTCTGAATCATTTTCGCTTTGCGCACTTGCCCGATTAACTTCTCTAGCTAGGTGTAGGGAAACATGAAAAATAGATAGGATTTAATTCTAGAAGTAACATGGGTACTTTGTAAGACGAAAAAAACAAAACTTCTATTCTCACTCAACTAGTAGGCTTAGTCTTCCTAGATTCTTACTCTTAGTCTTACAATTACTAAGTCTTAGTGGATAGTAGTGACAGTGATATTGATAAGTGTTGGCAAATTGAACGATTCGCAGTTAAGTTGTTAAGTAAATATTTAGTATTAGACTCAGAATAGTATCGGCTAATTACTACCAGAACTGGAATACACATGCCTTTGTGATTTGTGACACATCTGCTCTGAAGTTGAATTCGAAATAATTATAAAGAAGTGGAAAAAATAGTCGGCATGCCTCTGGAGTATGTTTTATTCTTTCTCAACATTTCTTTAAGTTTAGCTATTTAAAGGTAGAGGCCTATTTGTTATTTATATTATTAAATTAATTTTAAACCCACAATCAGGAAAATACATTTTAAAAAAAAATAAAATAACTTAATTGAACTTAATCATGACTTAAGACTTAATCAATAGTAGGCCTAGGCCTAATATTATATAATAGATTACTAATTTACTTTTATAGGGCCTAGCAAGGTCTATTCTGAATTCAATATTGATTGTATGTTATGTATGGAGATGGAGTATTATATCTTTTATAGTAGGCCTACTATACTACTATATTTATATAATGTACAATGTACAGTAACAGTACGGTCACGGTACAGTGCTGAGTGAGTAGGCCTGAGTAAGAGTAGGTCACTTTTCTTGTCAAAAACTTGATTGAATTGATTGATCTTATTTTATATTCAAAGCCAAAGCAGGCCTAATTATGTCTAAAAATGGTATCTTAAGTCTTAGTTAAGTTGGCCTAATTAGGCTTCTATCTAATCTATAAATTATAAATCAGCAATGTCAATGAACTACTAGTACTAGGCCTAAATTAAAGTCAAATTTAATTTGTCTATCCACTTGGCAGAAGTAGATTAGTCTCAGTGCAAATAGTTCAAGTAGTTTTGAGTAGTGGCTCACCCAAGTAATATTATATGTACCGATAGTCTAAGTAGGACCAATAGATTTTGGATAACTTTAGGCCTAGCTTATAGTATACTTTATTACACCCTAGATTTAGATTAGGATGTTAAGTTTTTTTGCTTAAAAGAAGTTTTTTTGCTTAAAAGTCCAAGCCTTGACCTGTGTTGTATTGTATCTTCTCTATGCCTAGTCAGAATATGACTCATATGCCTATAGCCTGCCTATGACTATGATAGTTATAGTATAGATAGGGCTAGCTTTAATAATAAACCTATTTTTTTTTAGGCCTAGCCTAAACATTTGTATTTAATAAAAAAGGACTAGGACAAATACATGTCATTATTATAAATCATAATTGAATAGTAGACTATACTATAATGTATGGCATATGGGCCCAGGCTATAGTTTTAGCCTAGTTTTATGATGATCCTTTATATTTAAGGCCTACCAGCCTACCTCATTACAAAGTACAGTTGCTACATTGACTGGCAATGCAATAAACTGAGTGAATTTATGGACTTTGTATTCTTTAATTTAGGGGCTTAGGATCTAGGTTAAAGTTTAAGCTCCCAGCTGGTGCTGCAGCTTGGCCTCTGTTACTGTCTGGCTTTGAATTTGAAACAAGGTGTTATAATATAGACCATAACTATAAAATATGCATATTCATTGGTTCAGTGTAATCATGCAATATGAATTACTTATACTTATGTCCATAACGTGACAGGCCTAGGCCCATATTTTAATTAAAGTATTAAGCAAGGCCTTTAATAAAAAGTAAGTAAAATATTACACGTGCTAAGACCTTTAATTGGGCCTGATTAAAATAAAAATATTATTACTTATTTAGGGGCTTATGATAAGCCCTATACAGGGCTATACACTATTCAATATTATAAAAAAAAATATGTATTCTAACATTTAGGCTATACATAGTAGGCCTATGCCTATATGGATGATTTTGGATGATTTTGGGTATAGAATGGACTAAATCGTAATATGAAATCTTGAATTAGTCTACATTATCAATATTTATAATTATAATAATAAATTTATTATTAGTCCAGGCCCACTTGTTACTATTAGTACAAATGTCATGTCATGTAGGCCTTTCTGAAGAAATAGACCTACAGCATTGCATCAGCATTTCAGATTCTTCATTCAAACTGTTAACTAGGTTAATCAATAACATTCAGTTTTGAAAAGTTGTTGGCCTTACTTATAAACAAATTTTATACCTTCTCATAATTGTTTTCATAATTTTAAATAATATTTTTTATTAGCCCCAAGGTGAATTCCAGACCTTAAGTTTGTCCAAATAATAATTAAATAAATAGTTGTTTAGCTTAACTGAACTCTTTTTCTATCACCCACACCCTATTTTCCCCCTACCACAATTGACATGTATCACAACAGACATGTGCATTAGAATTGATTAGAAATTTATGCTTGTCTATTAAAATTGTGAGAGTTGGTATTTTTGTCAGAAAATTTTATGTTATTTAGTTGGCAATCCAAATAAATTATAGCCTGGATAAAAGATTGTTTCTTGTTATATTAAAACTTTAAAGTAAGCATCTTTGATTGGAGGATTCAGATCTAAAATGGCTGCAGTTATGTTTAAAACACTTACAGCAACTAGTAGGCTTTTAAGTATATTAACCCAGATGGACACATATTTTCCTAGACCTAACTCATTCCGGATTTTGAATACTTTCAGGTGGGCCTATATCAAACTGAGTTAAAATTACTATTACTTTAGAATAGTAGCTATGAATAGCCTGTCATAAAAAGGTATCCACTCCGATATTAAGTAAGTGGCCCAACTCCTCTAATCACAAAAAATCCAGACAGGGTCATGAATTTGTAACATCTACTAACTTATCATATAATGACTGTTTCCCAAGTTTTTCTCTACTCTGCACCCCGGCACCCCCTAAAAATTATTCTACTAGTCTCGCAAACCTAAGCAATATTTTAGGCCTAATAATTCTCACTACAAAAGTAAGTGCATTTTAAAAATGTTAAAATATTGGACTTCTAATTTATTAATTTAGTTGCAAATAGAATTGTAGAATTTAGAAAATAAACTTGACAAAAGTTAATGAAAAAATGTTTAGAATGAATCATAAAAACATTATAATAACTTTAACTTTAATGAATGCTAATGTCTTTTCTGTTCTTATCATTGATAATCTCTTTTCCTGGAACCCCTGAAATGCTACCTCACATCCCAAAACCATAGTTGTGCCTACACCCCAGGTTGGCAAACCCAATTTTAAATAAACTATTGGAAACCCCACTAATAACTGCCTAAAACTACATGTAATTTAAAGAAGTGTTTTGTAGGTTTTGCTTAAATCTTAAAAAAGACAAGTATGTATTAAACCCTTTCATTACCGCTGGTTTTTGGGCATAGATTTTTGCTGACTTTTTATTTTAAAAAATTTTAAAAAAAAAAGAATGTAGAAATTTTCGGTATATTTCATTCTCTATCCGATATGCTTTTTAACTTCTCTATAGATTAACGCATCAAGAAATATATAACATTGAAATATGATGTTGACGTGATGTCCTTGGTATTTCAAAAAAGGTCTTTGCCTTTTTGTTATGACGACAATGGGACGTCCTTGGTAATTGAAAGTGGGTGATCGTGACGTCACGTTGACGTCATCGGTAGCGAAGTGGTTAATGGCATGGGTCTCTCTAATATAGTTTTTATGTTTTAACCACAAACTTAACCAAACTTACTCATCTTTTCATTTAAGACGGTCCATGATGACTTTGTCTAAAGAACATGTGCAGCGCCTTTGGAGGATGGCTGATGCTGTATGCTTTGATGTGGACTCAACAGTTATTAAGGATGAAGGCCTAGATGATCTTGCAAACTATTGCGGTGTTGGCCCTCAAGTTGAGGCTATGTAAGATTTGGTTCTGTCAAGCATTTTATACACCAATGGTTTTTATTTTGGCAGTGAGAATTCACTGTGAAGGCAAATGGCTTCGACATTAAGTCAAATCTTTCTGTTGATGCAAGATTGGTAACTGATGATTTAAGGCAATGAAATCACTTCAGATTGTAATCAGTAATCTTGTCAATTTGTTATGTAACATTTAGGAAAGTAAAAACAAAAATTTTGTAATGGAAAAAAAAATAGTTATTTATTTTTAGGCTTAATTTCTATATTTTGCTTAATGTAAATGGACTGATATCCTTATGGATTGCATCTTCACAATTTCTTTTTTTCTTTTAAGGACGCTTAAAGCTATGGGTGGAGGCATGACATTCAGAGAGGCTCTTACTCAGAGACTGAATATAGTACGGCCCAGTCGTCAAACTGTAGAGAATTTTAATATAGATCACCCATCTACATTTAGCCCTAGAATAAAGTGAGTATAATATATATTTTGGTCTGATTAAGATTTTTTTCATGGACCATTTTGATATTGTTTTTATGTAAATACTTAAGTTTTGGGGTAACTGATTTTAGTCCTGAAATCATATGCCTTGTGATACTGCAGAATTATGAGACTCATCTGGAGCAACTGAGTCAGATACATTTAAACACTTAATCTATGCACTCCATCATTCACCTAGGCTAGCTGCCTTCACTTGTGGTTAAAAGCATAATTATAAGCACACAATTTTCTAAACAGTGAATTAGTTTTTTTAATAAAATGATTTTTATATTAATCAAGAAATTTGTTCGTTACATATTTTGAGCAGTACACTTGTCAGTTATGTTTTAATTAGTAATACTAAAAGAATATAACTAGCAGTTTCAAGATACATGTTTTTTTCTTCTTCATGAGCTTAACATTTTAATTTCCCTTCAATTTTTGTTTACAGGGAATTGATAGACTTATTAAGATTAAAGAATAAACAGGTATATCTTGTAACTGGTGGATTTCGTAGCATCATCACACCTGTTGCTAATGCATTAGATATACCACAGGAACATCTGTTTGCTAATACACTACTATTCAATGAAGGTAAGCTCTTTTTGTAAGAAATCTTAGCTTTTTAAAAATTTGTACGTTGTTTCCGAGTTAATTCTTTCATCAGTTGATAAAAACATTTGTTATAAAGCCCATTTCATTTATTAAGAAATCCGATCTTCACACTTTTTATGAAGATTAAAGGATTTTAAAAAAAATTTTTTTGAAACATGCTATTCGTTTGGCCATGGCCACTATTTTAGATGATAGCTATTTGGTGTAAGATAAGATTAAATGTTTTCAGATGGTAGTTATGCAGGATTTGACACCACAGCCTTGACATCAGAATCTGGTGGAAAGGCAAGAGTTGTTCAGCATATAAAGGATAAATACAATGTAAAGACAGTGGTTTTTGTTGGTGATGGTGCTACAGATATGGAAGCCTGTCCGCCTGCAGTAAGTTTGTATGCTCTAATAATTAAGAGTGAAGAACGAATGGTTAACTCATTCAACCCTGAAGAAGTTCCACAACACAAGGAGTGGGAAATAATTTGATACAACATATAAAGCAATCAATTATGAATGCGAATCAATTTCTTTCATATAAATATATTGCAAAATATATTTTTTTCCCCTTCTTTTCTACAATAAAGGTGGAGTTGCCCCCCTTTTAACATGCAAATGTGAAAATCTAAGATCCCAGAAGTGAATGGGTTATAATAATAAATTATTTTTTTACTTTATTTAAAAGCTCCCTTCACATTGTTTAATTTTGCTTCACCTGGAAGCAGACTTTTGGGCATAATAAAAAAAGAAATTGTCAGTTTGATAAAAATTGCATAGATTTGCTTTGTTCCATTAAAAAATTAAATTGAATTTAGCATGTAGATCTAGTTTTTTAAAGCTCAGTATTTGTGATGTATTTTTAATAAGGCCAATTAAAGGAATATGTTGTGGATTTTTTTGGAGGGTTGGGGTGTTATTTTTCAATCAACGGTGTTCAATGACGTCAATTTTATCCAAGTTTGTAAAGATTTAAAACATTTTATCAACTGAATAAAATCAAAATTAATTTTTAAAAATTATTTATCATGAATATTCTTAAGAGGATGGTAGTTTTCTTACTTGAAATTTCAGCCTTTTTAAAAAAAAAAAACAACTTTTTTAATGGCCAGATTGGCTTTTGAGATATAGTATTTTCCAAATGACTATGGACTAGTGTTATTTTTCAATCAACGGTTTTTAATGACGTCAATTTTATCCAAGTTTGTAAAGATTTAAAACATTTTATCAACTGACTAAAATCAAAATTAATTTTTAAAAATTATTTATCATGAATATTCTTAAGAGGATGGTAGTTTTCTTACTTGAAATTTCAGCCTTTTAAAAAAAAAAAAAAAACTTTTTTAATGGCCAGATTGGCTTTTGAGATATAGTATTTTCCAAATGACTATGGACTTCTTAAGTTTAATTCTTATAAGCTAATGAAGAGGCATGTTTTGAAATTCCAGATAAAGAAATCTTTATATTAACTTTCTGTACAGGATGCTTTCATTGGTTATGGTGGAAATGTCATCAGAGCCAAAGTAAAGGAAAACTCACCTTGGTTTGTAACAGACTTTCAAGAATTGATTGATGAACTGTCAAATGAAACAAATATACAAAAAAGCTAAGCATTGACGATTGTCAGTTGTTATGTATATTTCCTACTGCATATCGGGTTGAAATAGTTAAAGCATGACATTCCTTTTTAAATCTGATGTCATCATTAATTTTTTAGAAATGTGTAATGAATGCAGTGAATCTTTTTTTATAGTTTATTGGTTGTATTTGCTCCTTCCAATTTAATAACAGAAAATATTTTTTTAAATGAACTAAATAATGTATAAAAGTTGTTTTACAAAAAACAAGTGCGACAAGAACCAAGAGACATGTAATGTTTGAATGAATAGATAACGTCATTGTTCCGTCTTTCCTGTTTCATGTTTTTAAACAGAAATGTTACATTATTTTATGGCGCCACAGAAAAATGTGATATTTATGAATTAGTTTGACAGTAAAAAAATCATCATGTGTTTTTGATCACAGCCACCTCATCCATCTGTAGTAGATTCACATTAAGGACATTTATTATTTGTGGTGGAGAGGTTTATTTTTTATATATATTTACTGTTTGAAAATACAACTTATTGGCAAAAAGTTCACTATCATGTAAACATGTTTTTGGCCTGCTAAGATCTAAACATTTCATGGGAGTTTTTAATAAAAGTTATCCCTGAGACATTTCATGTGACATATTACCTAACCACCAAAAAATTGGCAATAGGTTAATTTCCCATAATTTTTTTTTTACATTGATTATCATAGCAAAATCTTCTACTACTGACTCAGATGTGTTCATCTTCTGTAACGGTTGTGAAATCCAATGGTTTAATTGACCATAAGTCTGGCATCAATTTGTAGTGTTTTATTTTTTTTCAAAATGGTGAACCGCAGAACTGGGCCAGTCCACAATCCTTAAGTTACCGGGCCACAAGCGTTATGCTGGCAGTCCGCAAGCTTCACAATTTCGACCCGCATGACATGAATATTTATGGTCAAATAAAATGGAAATATAATTAATAGATCTGGCACAGGTCCCTATAGCGATTTTGAAGCTTTGAGAAACACTATATTATTTCACAATGCAGACTACGGGAATCTCGGTGGAACTGACTTTTTTTCTAAAAATTATTTGCACTGGATATGTTGTTTTTTTGCAGGAATTTATTTTTATTATTTATTAAAAATTCTATCAGAAAGATTTATTCTATTAAAAAGAATTCCCCTAATTTAGGGGTAGAGAACATTAATCTCTGATATAACATTAATGGCATTTTTATAAAATTATTTTTTACACTAAATATATGTCTTACTGACAGAACATCTTCAGCTGTACTATATTAGTACAGGTCTTCTGTGGATGATGTGGACGATTATGACTAACACCATCTTGTAGATTTAGCTACTCTATTTGAGGGCCACGTGGAATGTAACAGCAGTCTTGCTTATGATAACGAGGTGTGTTACTTGGTGATCTTTACACGCATATAAGTTTTCACTCAGCTGCTGTGGGGTTACTTGTTTAGTAATGATGACCATACTCATTATTGAATGTAGGAAATTATTTTGCCATATGGTGTTTTTGGTGCAGCCAGAAATAAAATACTATGGAACCACTGCCCTGTGTACATAAATTATTATATATTTTTTAAAAATGTTTGTATTCCAATATCCAATTTTCTCTTCAATTAATTAAGGGATGAAACTCCACATTACAATCTGAAATAAGAACTATAATACTTGTAAAATGAATTTTTAAAAATTCAATCGGATTAAAAGGGTGTAGGACTACACTTAATATTTCAAGTAGTTTAATGATAATGAGACACAATTTGTATAAAGAAAACAATATAGGTTAAGCTTTAATTATGGCTAAATATATTCAAATGTTTTGGAAAATTCCACCATAATAAATGCGATTCAAAAAAACATTTATAAAAGAATAAATTAAATTTACCTAATATAGTTAACAAAAAATTTTTAGCCACCTAAAAATGATAAAAGAATATTAATGGGCACAAGTCCAAAACGAAAACAAACCTCAGAGGAAATGAATTTGGTGAAATCAAAAGTTAAAACCCAACAGGGAAAAGACATGGCAGCTACACAAAAATTATGAATTTGGTTTATACCGTAAGGAGTCAATGTACCAAATCTTTTTATTAATTTATTTTCCATATTTAGAAAGGAGACATATACAAATTATGTTAATTTATTTTATATTTCTATGAATGTTTTTTGATGTACTGGTACTGTCAAAGGCATATGCCTCAACATTTGAATTTGTATTCTGTGTAACCATAAGCAGACCTGTTTACTCTTACGATTTTGGCGTACAATGTACGATTTTGAAGTGTTAGCATGTATACTCATAAGTGTACATCTGACAATATTGAATGTACAACTGACAATGTTGAGTGTACAACTGACAATTTTGAGTGTACAACTGACAATGTTGAACTGATAGTCTCAGTAGTGATAGCTTAGTTGTTACGTAGCTTAGATGTAAACAGAGAAATGTTTGTCCTCATGTATGGTTTGCCGTGGGCTTAAATGTCTTTAAGCATGGATTAATTTCTCCACCTGTATAGTTGCCTTGCTCAGCCGATCCCCTACCTTTTAGGGGCAGACACCCTATTTAGATGTCACAATCACCTCTTAAGTGGTGTATCCACTTCTCACAGGGGTGTATCCGCCTCCCGCGGTGGTGTATCCAACTGTCCCAGTGGTGCACCCACCTCCCGCAACGGTGTATCCACATGCTGGTGTCAGTAAAAGCTTAATCTTAAAATAATTATCACTCAGTCAGTGTTGAATTTCTAGTGTTCAGAGCAGGCAACAAGTCAAGCTTGATTTTAACTGAGCTTCAGGTCTGCCCGGGTCAACCAACAGCCGACAGCTCTCCTAAAAATGTTTTTTTTTTACAATTTTATTTAAATTTTTAAAAATGTTGAAATTGATTGGAATGGTATAGCTGGCGATATTCATCCACACTAACAATTTTAATATTTCATTTCAAATGCCATTGTTTTAACAAATTAAATATGATGAAAGATTGCTGTTTCTTAATGCAGATCTTATTTTTCCACAGAAAATGTTTTACACATGATGTATTAACAGCCTAATTACTTGTAGAGTAGAATCATTTAATATTCCAAGAAATAAATAGAAGTACTAAAACTTTTTAAGACTTTTAAAATATTTTACTTTTAATTTAATCTGTAAGATCTTCTATGCTATTGGAAGGTATAGATAGATTAAAACAATTTTATACTGGGCATACATGCTGGAATATCTCATTAGGATCTGCTTGTATGTAACTAAAGCATTCTGCAACATTTCTTCCAATAGGATTGGGCTCAGGGATGAAAAGGGCAAGGTTCTTTTTTTTTCTTTTTTTTTAAACTGCATTCTATAGGACCTCGGAGTTACAATGACTTAAGATTTGCACAATTATTCCAACCTTTTATTGCAAACAATTAGGTGTGGCTACTGGCAAAGGTGTGGCTACTGGCAATTTTATTGTTATCTTTTAAACTGGTCTACCGTTGGCTGCTACTACTAACTGTAACTTTAGCCATTTGACAGTGTTACTATTTTTGGGATAGTATTTACTCAATCGCAATCATTGTGAGTTTTGAAATACTGAAACGGCAATAAATTAATCATCAAACAGGTCAGCCCGTGATCATGTCTTAAGCCTAAGCGCCTCTATATTAATTTTGTTTCTAATCATTATTGATTATCCGATTTCAAATTCATCTTTTAGAACACCAGATTTTACTTTTTTTTTATTATCCCAGCTTATGTCTGGGATGCTCTATACTGGATACATATCCTTAAACTTAAAAGCTTAATTATCCCAGCTTATGGATGGTATGCTCTATACATATCCTTAAACTTAAAATGATCAATAAATTGATCGTGGGCCCTTAAGATATAGAAGAAAAAGCTTAATTATCCCAGCTTATGGATGGGATGTTTTATTCAGCATAACTTTAAACCACGGATGATACTGTATACATTTTTTAATAGAAATATGGGGCAATAAACAGTACTAGTACAGTAGATTTTCTTTTATATCCTAAAACAACTGAAAATCCCGGTGGGTAGCCAGGGCGGCTCTGATAGGTGAATTTTGAGCTACTTCTGTCAGTGATATTTGGTAGCCTGGGTCTTGTCTGTCAGTGAGATTTGGAAAGTCTGGGGCGTTTCTGCATTACAACTAATAACTAACAACTAATAACTAACAACTAATAACTAACAACTAATAACTAACAACTAACAACTAACAACTAACAACTAATAACTAATAACTAATAAACAACTAACAACTAACAACTAATAACACAGGCGTATTCATTTTGTCTCCCCTTACGCCGTAAGTTACAGTGGGTTTTTTTTTTTTTTTTTTTTTTCTGGCATCCGTCCGTCACAATGTGACGATGGAGTGGGCTTCGGAGGACGAAATCCACATGGCTTGGGATTATTCTTCAAGGATTATAAGCTGGTTCCCAACAGCAAATCGCCTCTCTCCACGCCGCTGGATAACCCAAGGGAACATCATTGGATGATACAGCTTGGCACCAGTGACGTCGCAGGAGTTGTCGGAATGTTTCATTGTATCAATGTTATCCGCCTTTCGGGACTCCATCTCCAGGTTTGATTTCAGAGTTTCCTTCTCTTAGATGAGTTGCCATCCAAGGTTAACGAGTCCCATCTACCCGGGGTGCTGGTGGTGTTTTTGCTTGACTGGGCTCAATAAAAAAAGTTAATGACAGATAAAGTTAAAGTAAATAAAGAGATCTACAATAAGCCCCGTACATGTCCGTTTATTTCTTAGGCATTTATCCAACGAGCGTTGCAGTGGTTTGACATTCCCAAACCTGCCTAAGGACGTTTGAGGTGGAGAGTATCGGTCCACCCCGGGCGGCACTTTTTCTCTATGCACAGAGGGGGTGGGGGCGGAATTTTCGGCCAAAAGCAGAAGTCGTTCGTCGTGGGTATGGGTGGCAAAAATCTGCACCAGCCGTCGGTAGGAACTAATAATAGTTACCCCACTGATTCCCAACAGTCCTTTCAATTTATAGAAGTTTGGGGAAAGCCTCAAAAAACATATTTGGAATTAAAACACACTCACTAACACTACCAGACAGCGTTAATTTCATTACAATGCAGCCCTGAGAAGCTGCTCCAACCGTTACGACCCAGCTACATCGCGAATTAGTTGCGTTGTGGAAACACACTGTGGAATCCCTCTTATAGGGCGTCTAACGCTTCCCCGGGATGGGTGGGGGAAGTTATTAGGACGTAAAATTTTCCATCCCGACTCCTGAGAAAGTCGATCGTGTGCACTGTGTGCACACACAGTGTCGGACCGACCGGGCGTGTTTTGGTTGGGACGGCCCCCGGCGGAGACCTGGTCGAGCAGACTCGGGTTGGGGCCGCCCTGACGAAGAGACATCCCGACGTGCCGCTCCACGGCCCGATACCGGGTTGGGGTGGGGTGTTTTGGGGAGGGCATAAAGAGAGCAGGCTCGACGGCCCGCACAATTTCTGATAACTATGCTATACCAATGAATTATAAAACCGCATTTAAAGTGATATTATTTCTGCAACCGTTACATCTGAAAAATGTATGTACGTTTCTTTATTTGTTGGATTGATCATATTTACCATGGAGATATAATAGATATTATGCTTAAGGATAAAAAGATGGGCTGGGGAGTGTCAATCAAGAACTTGATGAATGATGTCAAGGGAAAATGCGTTGTGTTAATGCAATTTTTTTTATTTTTTTTTTGACGCATGGGCTCATTATGTTGTTTGGTAGGGCTTTTCTTGAGTTTTTTATTTTTATTTTTTTAAATCTATTTTTTACCGATGAAAAACATTGGAGTCAAACAGAAAAAAAAAAAAAAGC